CGCAACTAATATTCCTAAAAATCCTCTAATGCCCTTTGTAGTCAAACCTGTGTCCATCCCAGCCTGCGGAGTCACTTGTCTGTGTTTTCTCTCTCTAGTTTTTCCTTCTCCAGAGTAATGTACAAATGGATCAGTCTGTCCTTTTACTGTATGCACTTGAAGTCCATCCATGTGGTTGCACATATTAGTATTATTGCTGAATATTATGCCATTATGTAGAAAAACTGAAGGGTTCTTTCTCATTTGCCGGTTAATAGACATTGGGTTTTGTTTCTTGGCTGTTAAGAAAAATGCTGTAGTGAATGTCTGTGCACAAGTGTCTGTTCACGTTTTCATGACACACATTGCCACTTCTCTGAGGTAGGTGACTAGGAGCAGAACTGCTTGAATGACACTAGTTTTTGTTTTGCACGTTTGGGAGATCTCTGCGTGTATTTTGAGCAGTTGCATGACATGACAGATGGTGTTTCAGAAAGATCCTTGGAACAGTGTGGGACATGGGGAGAGACAGGAGGCAGAGAGAGTGGTTAGGAAATTGTGGATTTTTCAGTCTGTTTTGTTTCAGAAATTGCTGTTTTTCAGTGTCTTCTATGGAATAAAGGATATAGAGTAACATGAAGATTCTGTGTGTTTTATTGGTGCTTAGTTTCTCCCATGCATCAAATATCTTTTTCTGTGGGCTCAGTGGTAATAAAAAGAGTCAATATTAATTTTTATCAAGCTAAGTATGCATCAGTGCTTTCCACTGTTTTTTTTTATTTCCCTGCTCTTAATATGTCAAGCACAACATGGTGAGGGTAGTAAAGATTTGAAATGCAACCAGTCCCTTTTTTTTCTCTGTACTTTTGGAAAAGGGTGAAACAGCCAGGTCGGGGTTCTGGGGCTTCTTTCCAGGTCCTTGGTGTCCTGAACAAAGGACTGGGTAGGAAAGGAGGCAGTGAGGCTATAGATCTACTGAAGGCATCAGAAGAGACTCCACAGGGTGTGAGTGGGCCCTTGAAGGAAGCTCACGGGAACCCTAAGGAAAAAGGGAAAGGGGCCATTAGTATCCAAAATCCCTGGATTAGTCCCCACCTTATGTAAATATGGCATTGGGACAGTTGTCTTAGCAAAAACTCGCTTGCCTTCATGCCAGATGTAAATTATCTTAGTTACTTTTTTCTCATTGCTGGGACAAAATACCCAATGCCAAAAATTAAGGAAGGAAAGACTTGTTTAGCTTACAGTTTGTGGAGGTTTTAGTCCATAATCAGCTGGCTCCAAGGCAGGGAAGGGGCAGGGCATGGCACAGGGGCAGCAATTCAAGACCACAGAAGACAGCAAAAGCAGCAAGAGCAAAAGAAAGGAGTGGTAGAGAGTAAACCTCTTTCCCTCCCTTGCATTGTATGCAGGCTACCCGGTCCAGGGCAGGTGTAGCACTCACACCCATAATCCCAGCATTGGACCATGAATCAATCAAAAACTCTAGAAGCCCACCCCATGACTGCGTGAGCCTTCTGGGGACATGCAGACACAAATCATAACATTGTCTTATTGGAAAACTTACCTTGGCCTCCCACAATATGTAAATGAAGTATCAGGAGCAGAGTCTTTTGATTGGTCCTGCCCATTTGTAACCAAAGGTAATCATCTTGGGTTCCCTGTTCTGCACATGGCTTCTCTTTTTCGGAAACATCTCACTCAGCAAGTGAGCCTTGTTTGTTTGTTTGTTTTATGACTTCTAACACATTCTATCAGGTTGGTTGTCCAGTTTGCCCCAGCCCTACTCTCCTACCTTAACAGCAGTGACTGAAAATAGGGACATGTATATATTCCTAAAACATTTAGGTTCCTCCTAAAGCATTTTGAAAAAATGCAAATTCAACAAAATTAATAATCCTTTCAAGTATCTTATAAGTCAATTAAAAAACTATTTACATGATTTAAATCAACTAAAAATTAGTTATACTCTTTTTTTCTTTTTTCTTTTGGTATTAGGAATTGAATTCAGGACCTTGAGCTTGCCAGGCAGGCACTTGTACCACTGAGCTATGTTGTTGGCCCAACTAAAAATTAGAGGCACAGGAGATCAAACTGATCTTATGACAACCAGCCCAGGGCCCTCAGCTGTAGATGAGAAAATTGAAGCCAGGCAGCTTAAGAGCATTTACCAGGGTCGTGTCATGACCACACGCCTCACTGTTGTTTCTGCAGCTTGACCATGTGTTTTCCTTGAACAAGAAGCAAGCAGTGTGCCTGGGGGTGGGGTACTTGTTTGTTTTCAATAATTGGGAAAAACACCTCAGGCGTTTTATACATTTAAAAATAAAAATAGTCATAATAGTATAAAACTTGAATTTCAAAGAAAGGAGCAATATGAAATATATAGATGAAAAATGACACGGTAATTTCTTGGTAACAGGTGCTAGGAAGTTTTAATATTTTGTCTATTTTTGTGCTGTTACTCAAATATTGTGACAGCAAGGTAGTGTGTACCTCCTTAACAAGCATTTTATTTTTACTGTTGACTGTCTTGGATGTCTTAAACTGCCAGTGTCAGGGTTTTCTTTCAAGTGATTCTCATGTTAACTTGAAGTTGATAACGCAGAAGGTTGGTTGGGGGAAAACTGTGATGCCCCTGTCAAACCCTGTCCTCGGGGGCATGCCAGGCTTTCTGGGAGGTCTTACTGTTGTTCTCCCGATAGTCCTTCTGCAAAAACAAAGTGAGCAACTGCGAGACGTGAGTCAGTGCTGGGAGGACAAGCCCCGAGCTCCACCATCAATCCACTTCGCGGTCAACCGAGATTCACTTTCCGCATGAGCGTGTGTGCCATCCTACAGTGACCTGTGATTGATAAGCCCTTTGTCTGTTCTTTTGTCAGCCTCTGCTTTAGGCATGTAGCATTCAACACGGGGGGACTGCGGGTTCAGAGAGGAGGAGAGTGAGGTAGCATAAACAAGAGAAGCTCAGAGAGCCCCTTAAAATGTGTAAGTAATGAAATAAATTGTGACCAGAGTATCGGCTTTATTACTGATGAGAGCTGACTGAAGGGTAAATGTTGGACAATAAGGAACAACAGGTTTCCTAATGCTAAACCTCAGACCTGAACATACCTACCAGTTCTGGATAAGAGAAGAACCCCGGGTCTCCTGGGAATGACACAGTGCGCATGCGCTCTTCTGACGGCAGCCCAGCTCTGCCCGCCCGCTCTTGCGGAAGAGTGGAGGGGTTCCTTACAGAATTATCAGTTAAGTGAAGCATATCACCTCTCCTGGGGAGATGCCAGAGGCTATTTTAAGGAAACTGTTAGACACAAGAAGTTCCTCCCATGCCCTTTCAGAATCTGTGGTGTCATCTGTGAAGTTAAATTCTCCAGGTTCTGGAGGTTGACAGAATGAAAGGTAGTAAGTGTAAAGCACCCAGCATGGTGACTGACAAGAGTGAGCGCTATAAGATCCAGCTGAGCACGGTGGTCCGTGCCTGTCATTTCGGCACACCGGAGACTGAGGCAGGGAACCCAGACCGGACAACCTAGCAGCCTGTTGAGACTTGTCTCAAGAAGGGTGATGTGTAGCTCAGCATGTGAGCCCTGGGTTCAGTCCGTAGTACCACCAAAAAACCACACAAAAAACCAAAAACCTGGATGGGAGAGACTTTAACCAGATGCGGATGGGGGCTCATCAGAGAGAGAGAGAGAGTAAGGAGCCATTCAGAAGACACATTCATAAGGCGGTGCGCAGATGTGTGTGTTGGGAGGGGGTAACTTTAAGAAACAGAGCCCTTCTGCCTTTTGTGATAGGATAGAGGGGGAGAGGCTGTTAAATTTTTAGCTTGTAGTATCACAACTATGGAAGTTCTCTTTGAATTGTGCTCGTTTCTCTATCGCTTTTGCCCAACCCCCTTCTCTGCCACCAGTTCGCTTCTCTATCTAGAAACTTCTATATACCCTTCAAGCTTCTGCTCTGGGGCACTCAACACCTGTCCACAGACACTGCCAGGTGTGCACCACCCCCACCTGTGGGCGTGACTGCTTCCAGGAGGAGAACTTCCATTCACTGGGTGCTAGGAGCGCGCCCAGAGCCAAAAGTTGTTTCTAAGAGTGCACTTAAGGCATGCTATCACCTGGCAGGAGTTTATGTTTTGGAAAAGAACCAAGTACACAAATGATTATGATAAAAACCATATGGAGGAAGGGCCACCAAATAGAGGTTTGAAGGGTATATGGGTGGAGAAAGAGAAACAGAAAAAGAGGGAGAGAAAGAATAAATAAGCCAAGACTGTGTAAGTGATACCCGCAAAAACTTTGTAAGGACTGTGGTTTTAAGTTAAAGCATAGGCATATTTTTGATTGACAAACATACAGAGTAGGCCATTTTACTTGGAGAGAGTGCCATAATAAATGGCACAAAGCATAGGAGAGGAGACCATGGGGCAGTCCGTCTGCCTGCAGTATGGAAGGTGACCGAGAGCACTTCGCACGGATTAGCAGGGCCCAAGCAGGGGAGAGGGCAAGAGCCAGGTGGTGGAAGAGTCAGGACACAGTGACATCTACCAGTATGGGGACAGTGCATGCTGCCCCAAACATCAAAGGTCTGCGGATTACAGACCACCACAGCAGCTCTAGTAATCAGAGGAAAGTTTGAAATACTAGGAGAACTAGCAAAGTATCACAGAGAGTCGAGAAGTGAGCACATGCTGTCGGAACCATGGTACCCATACACTTGCTTGAAATAGGATGGCCATGGATCTTCAATTTGTAAACAATGTAGCATCTACAAAGTGCAGGGAGATCAGGCAGAAATACAAGGTGTGATTGTGTTAGGAAGAGCTGTGCTGCTTTCCTTGGTAGCTACTGGTATGCGGTGCCCTGTTCCTGTCGGGGAAAAAAGGTGAGCTGGAATGTCCTGCTCCTGCAGTTATGTGTTTGAGGCTGACACAAGGCTTCATGCTATTTGTAAGTTACTTTTCTTAGTAACTATTTCAGATGAAAACTTCAAAATAAAAACCTCTTTTCTTTCAGCTAAGAAAAAGAAGCCTAGACTGTTAAATAAATTTGATAAAACTATTAAGGCTGAACTTGATGCTGCAGAAAAGCTTCGTAAAAGAGTAAGTTGATATTTTTGTTTTCCACAGAAATGTACAATGTTTTCATTAGTAAGTAAACACAGGCATTATAAATAATACAATAATATAATAATAATAATACAATAACAGTAATAAAAGTCAAAGAGACAGCATAGAGTGGATCTTTCCTCAGGCACATCATTGTATTTCATGTGAAATAAATCAAATGGAAAAGGCTTGTGGCCAATGGCCAGCTTACCTTCCGGATAGCTGACTTAGATGTTAGCCCACCTCTGTCATAGTTGTATGGATTTCAGGAAATCGTTTGGCCATTCTGATCCTCAGTTTATGTATTTAAAAAAATGAAAATGATAAGTGTTCTTCGTGTTTCTTCTTGCTCTTTAATAGAGGTCAAATGAGAGTAAAAGAACAAAAAGTATCAACGCTGTCAAGTACCATATTAGTGTAAATTTTTACTTATAGCACATCAATGTAAAAAATGAAATAGAATAAAAATAGATTAGTCCTACACTCTTGGAATAGTTATTATTAGGTGAAATGACACCAAGTTAACATTCTTCCCACGTAAGGTTAACCTTATGTACCCCTAGTTTTCCATGTGACTATTTTATGTTTGCTTTGTCATCAGCTGATCTGAAATATTTGTATTCCTTTACAGATATTACATTTTTGATAACAGTAATTTGACACTAAATTGAAATTGGATGTTCTCATAATTTGTTTGTATTCACACCCCAAAATTAGCAGACTCCAAAATACTGACTATGACATAGTTAAGATCTCTAATTAATCATCTGCTTGTTTTTCATAAAAACTTCTATTTCTTTACTTTAGTCTTAAATGTAGACTCTGTAATACTCATTAGTTTTCCTGTAAAATGCTTTTTTATCAAGTAGGGATTACCAGCAAAGGGAAAGGAGGGCAAAGGTGTGTAAGTATATAATTGTTGTGGTTTAGCTCTTGAATGTTCTCCCAAAGCCTCATTAAAACCAAGAATAACACTGTGCTCAGAAGTGTAGCTCTTGCAAGATGATGGGATCATGGGATGCTGTACTCATTGGTGAGTTCAGCAGCAGAGTGTGCTGTTGGGAGGTGTGGCCTGTTTGGAAGAGATGGGTCCCTGGGGACATGACCTGGAAGAGCATCTCTCCATCCCTGGCCCCTCACTGCTCTCTCTGCTTCCTGGCTGCTGTGATGTGAGGTGTTTCCCTTCCTGTGCCTCTGTGGCATGCCATGTCTGCCTTGGAGCCAGCCAAGCATGAAGTGTAACTGAGCCCAGGTAGACCTCTCCCTTAAGTTGTGGGTATTGTGTGTTGGTCTTAGTGACAAGGAACGTGACTAGAACAATAATCAACAATAATGAAAGCACATATGTTAAAAACTGAAATGTGACAAAAATGGGCTTCTATGTCTTATTAGAAATGAACCAGTAAGCATAAAGGCCTTTACAAGTAACACAAGACAAGGTTCCAAAGCCAAGGTTTGGGTTACTGTGCTCACTAGTTGGTAAAAATATAGTAACTCCAAAGAATATGATAGCACAGTCATTCTTTACTTCCTCTAACTTTAAGCAGACTGAAACATTTGAGCCTATCTTATTAAACTTTATGAAGTTAAACCATCTACTATTTGTGGTAAATTAGCATGTCTTCATAGAAATAGAGCAAGGATCATCCTTTTCTTTCCCCTCATTTAGTGTCCAAAACTTTTTTCTGGAGTAAATGCCATTTATGTGAAAATGTAGGGTCCCGGTTGCACAGGTAACTTTCAGGATAAGATACAAGTGAACAGCCCTAGAGGAGATTCGTATGCAGTTACATGAATGTGAAGAAGGGCTCAGTTACCAAGGGGCACACAGGTCAGTGGGACACAAAGGTGCTGGATCTGTCCACGGGGGACTCTCCAGCTTATTTGGAAACATGATGATGTTTTCCTCCGTGAGTGCTGTGGATCTATGACAGGGTAAATAAAGGAGGAAGAAATGGCCACATATGCAGCTGGCTTCTCTGAAACAAGTGGGAGCTGTATTACTGGCTGAGTCATCAGCATAATTATATCTTTTCCAAAGTTTATTTTTATAGCTAGTACTTTCAAAGGATACAATTTAATGCACCGGAATAACTGAAGACCCGGTCAAGGCAGGTCTGAGACATGGCCAGTTCAGCATCAGGCTGGTTCACAGCTCAGGTTCAAGTACTGAACTGTGGAAAAGTACATGGTCACTTTTATTTTTTTAACCCAAAAATGTAGATCATATTTTAATGATCTATTTTTTAAAAATATTATTTATTGTTTAAAGTTTCTCTCTTCCCCCAGAAGGATTTGAAATGATATAATGAAGTATATTCTTGCAATCATTTATTATCATTTTATTATAAATGAACAAGAAAAAAGGGAAAAGTAGAAAAAATGTAACAAAGTCAGAGTAAGGTTAATACATAAAAATTCAGTGCATACGACAGGCTTTAAATTGTACCAGCAATGAAGTCACTTAAACTTTCTTTAGACAGAACAAGGGAAGTAAAAGCAGACTGAGAGATTAAGATGCTTCATCAGCATTGCTGTCTACACCAAATACAGAGAAACATATTCTTTTATGGTCTTGGTAAAGATGCACACTGATGGATACAAGCTTCGTACCATCACGCCAGTAGATTCTGTAGTACATCTGCACGGCCGTGTCAGAATGTCCTTTAGCCCCACCCATTGGCCTTATGCCAAACAAAACGTGTTTGCTCTAGTTTGCTAGTTTGCTCCTCTAGTAAACTATCTAGTTCTAGAACAAAAAATAAGCTAAGTTGGGGAACAGATAATTTTCAGTAATTATTTACAAACATTGTGTCATTTTAAATAATTGCAAGTTAGGAACTATATAAAATCCTTAGAAAGGAAATTCTTTCGTACAAAAAGCAAACATAGTAATGCTGCAGGCAGTTGATGCTAAGAGTAGGCTGACAGTCCCCTGGAAGGCCACCCAGCCTCTGTCCTGAGGAAATTCACAGGATGCCTAGGACACAGCCAAAATAATTCCATTATTTTCACAACTGTGAAGGTGTCAGAGGAACACCGTGCTTCATCTAATCTTTTGTGAATAGTGTTATTCCTGTTTTTAATCTGGCAATGGTACATATAGTATAGTTGTCACAAAATTAGCTTCAATATTTGCCATTTAAATTTAGAGGCTACACAGTAGGCTGAAAATATCCCTCCATAAAATGTTCATATAAATGTCACATTATTTGGAAAAAGGTTCTTTGCAAATAATAGTAAGTTAAGAATTGTTTTTTTTTTTTTTTTTTTTTGGTGGTGGGGTGGTGCTGGGGATTGAACTCAGGGGCTTGTGCATGCTAGGCAAGCACTCTACCACTGGGCCACGTCCCCAGCCCAGCCCATAGGTTAAGAATCTTGAGATGAAATTATCCTGAATTTTTCATTGTGCCCTAAATGTAATCATTTTTTAAAATAAGAGAATAGAGGGAAATTGGAGTCAAACAAATAGAAGGTGGGACACACGAATTAGAGAACTCAACGTGAAGAAAGAAGTGGAGATTGGCCTGTTACAGCCGTTAGTTAGTACATGTTGGCAAAAGGCAAGGGCCTGTAGAGAGAGCATGGGCTTGTCAACATCTGAATCTCAGCCCAGAGAAGCTAGTTATGGAATCTGTTCCCCAGAATTGCAAGAGAACAAATTTCTCTTGTTTTAAGCCACCAAGTTTGTAGCAATCTGGGACAGCGTCCATAGGGAACTAATGCAGATTTGGGTGCTGGGCTGTGGAATAAAGCAATACCTAAAAGTGGCTTTGGAATTCAGAAAAGGGTTGAGGTTGGAAGAATGTTGAAATGCGTGGTAGAAAAATTCTAAATTGCCTTAAGATGTCGGTAGTAACATGGATGTTAATGGGCCAGGGATATAGCTCAGTGGCACAGTGCCTGCCTGGCAAGTGCAAGGTCCTGAGTTCGATTCCTGGTACTAAAAAAAAGACTCTCATGACATGGATGTTAAAGATGCTTCTAGTGAGGGCTCTGGAGGAAGAGAGGAAGAAGCACAGTTGAGAAAGCGCCTTTCATCTTTAGAGAACACATTTATCATAAAGGACAGAACGGGGTAGAACCACAGGCATTAAGGCCCCTTGTGTCAAGTACCCAGAAGAAAATGAAGAATATATTATAGAAAACTACAGGAAAAATGCCCCTTGTTACATAGGGGCAGACAGCTTATCTGAATTGTGTTTTAAAGTTATGCAGAAAGCAGAGCTTACAGATAATAAGTTTGTATATTTAGAGGAGATTTCTAAGGAAAGTGTTGAAGGTGCGACCTGGTTCCACTTTGCTCTCTGTGGTAAAATATGAGAGGAAAAACATAAAGTGAGGAAGGAACTATTAAGGAAAAAGAATCAGGCCATGCTGCTTGGTAGTTTCTCAGCCTATCAGATAGGGAAGACGGTAAGAGTAGAAAATAGACTGTTAGGAAATCATGCTCTGGAGAGAAGTCCAGGAGTAAGGCTGTTTTTGAAGAGAGTGAGTCTGTGACCTTTGGGTCCCTTCTGTCATCGCAGCGGAAGTCAGGAATAAAGATGAGGTCACACAGGAGGGGTATGAGAAGGAGCCTAATAGTGTGCGTCCCTGTAACATACATAAGAGACACGTGGGTTTCTAGAATATTACAGAAGCAGAAGTACTGCCAGCTTGGACTAAAAAAGAGAAGAAAAAAATGAAAGAAGGCGGACATACACTCAAATCAGGCTGATAAACCAAAGCACCACAAACCTCTGCTATCTTTCTGTAAAGAGGAAGGACCACTCTTAGGTCAGATCCTTGGATTCAGAGGCCCAGAGAAAAGAGCGTGATAGCCAGAGCCATGGACCCAGGGGCAGAGTCTCAAGCCACAGAGAATTATTCCCAGATCTGGACACTTAATGGAATCTGCCTGCGGCTAAATTTTGAAATTGCTTGGAATAAGTAACTCCTTTCCTCTTCTTATTTAGAATAAGAGTACCTATAAATGTTGTCCAGCGCTTATCCATTATTGCATTTTAGAACTAGATACCTTGTTTTCTAGTGTTATTAGTCCGTAATGAGGAGGAATATTGCCTCAGTAGATCATAACTATAACCTGTATAACTCATACCTGATCTAGATCAAAGATTTGGGATGTGGAGTTGATGAGATTTAGATGAGGTTTTAGATTTGAGTGGATGTGGTGGTTTGAGACTTTTATAACTATTGGAAGAAAGTGCATACATTTTGCATGTGGGACAGCCATGAATCTGTAGGAGGCAGAGGGCATGCTCTGGGAGAGTGAAAAGTGGCCTTCCCAAAAGATATCCAGGCCATAATATCTAGGGTCAGTAAATGTTAATCTTATTGGAAAGAGAATCTTTCTAGATGTGAATAAATTAAAGATCTTACAACAGAGACATTTTTTGGATTATCTGAGAAGACCCTGAATGCATCATTCTATGAAAGAGACAGATTGAAATTTGACACAAAACGAAAGTGAGGACAAGCCAGGTGTGGCGGCACATGCCGGTAATCCCAGCACTTGGCAGGCTGAGGCAGGAGGATTGCTGCAAATTCAAGGCCAGCCTGGGTTACACAGTGAGTTCAAGGCTAGCCTGAACTACATAGTGAGACCCTGTCTAAAAAAAAAAAAAAAAAAGTAGAACAACAAAAAAAGCAAATGCAAACAGGGGAGAAGTGATGGAAGATGGAGCCTGGGAGGCAGATAACAGGAAGATGCACTGCAGGCCCCAAAATACCAGCATCCACTAGAGCTAGAGAAGACCAGCGACAGGTCCTTCCCTCAGGCCTCCCGAGGAAGTGCAGCCTTGCCAAGCTCTTAATTCCAGTCCAGTGCAATAGACTTTGGACTTCCATTCTCCAGAATTGTGAGAGAATCAATTTGTTGCGTTAGGCCACCAGATCTGTGATAATTTCTTAGAACAGCCACAGGAAACTAATGCAGAGTATTTATTAGAAAGTACAGGCAAAAGACATGAAGTGTAATTTTTTTTTTAGCATGCTTTAAATTCATTTAGAGAAAAAAATATTCATTTTTAAGATCAATGTTGTGAGATGGATAATGCAAAATATATATTGAAAGAAAATGTAATTTCTTTAACACAAATTCATATTACATCTTTGGCAGGCATCCTTATTTATAAAAATTAAGTATATTATGTTCATTTATAGTTTATGGTTGTTCCATAAGTTTTTTTTTAAACTTAGATAAGAGACCTTAACTTCAGAAAGGAGTGTAAAATTGAATAACATTATGCTATGCATTCAGACTTATTTATGTAATTGTATCTAACAGGGGAAAATAGAGGAAGCAGTGAATGCGTTTGAAGAACTGGTGCGCAAATACCCTCAGAGTCCACGAGCAAGATACGGGAAAGCACAGGTATTCCACAACCCTGCTATTTCAAAAATTTTCATGATGTTCCTGTGTGCTCTGTGACTGGATTTTTCACTTGTAACATGCATTTTCTCTGTGCCCCTCCTAATTTCCAGGTAGAATTTGTTTCTGATGTCTTTGCATAAACCCAAGTAAAGAATACCACTTTCAACAGAATGACTAATTTCCAATATTGTGAACTGCTGACTCTCGTAACTCCTCGTCTCCTTCCACTTAGCTCTCTAACGCTGTTCTCACTCCTGGCTCCCCTGAGCTGTAAGCCTCCTGGTTGTATAAGTACAGGTTGCAGGTGTGCTTAGTAGATGCTTTTTAAAAATATGGAGTGGAAGGTACTTTGTTTCCTCCATTGTTTCTTTCCGCCGACTCATGTCTTACCGGCTATCTCTTCTCCATTTCCCACTCCCACCATCTCATTTGGGTTTCTTTCTCCTCTGACCCCTTTGTGAAGCTGGGACACATTGATTCTAACTGCATGAACTGTGCTATGTCCTGTTTTAGGCCTTGGGGATATCTGTGCTGTACTTTTTCACGGGAAGGTCAATCAGATGTGGTCACAAAAGAAGACGTAGGAAGGCTCAGGACTAAAATGGAGGTAGTGTACTCCTCTCCCACAGAAAGAAGGCCCAGCACACCATACAAGAATGCACTGGGAAAGATACCATGGCGGTCAGGAGGCAGAAGGCAAGAATGCCAGGCAGGCTCAGGCTACTACCTTTATTGAGTTTTCATGGGAATCGCAAGGTGGGTCTGGATGAGCGGTTTAGAATTGACTATTTTAAATAACTTAGTCTAGGGACTATAGTTGCAATTTCTAGCTGTCATGGATGTGGCTTTAGCATGAATATGGCAAGGGAATATTGCCTCTTCTATTTGGACAGAGGAGGTCAAACGCTGGGTTGCTTAGTTTACTTATCAAAAGCTTGCTTACCTTCTCTCTGTCCCAGGTGGGTAACCCAAGGAGGGCAGTCTCTCCCCAGCCAGAGAGTTTTTAGGAAGTCAGGCATCATAATAACAGAAAATTGAAAAATATTCATACTATAATGAACACCTTGGAGGTCTCTATCCTTGTGGATCTTATACTCTAGTGGAAAACATTTTTTTAAATTACTACTTAAAAAATATTTAGTGCCAGGCCCTGTTCTAGGCACTGAAAATACAACCATCAAAGAAATCTTTTTTAAGAACCCTCTGCTTTTATGGTTCCATTATAAAAGGGAGGACAATGCATAGGACAAATAGGTGCCGTATGTGTTTGCTAGTGATAAGTGCTAAGAAGAATAAAAATATGGCAGGGAGGAGCCACCGGACATGTGAAAGAGTTGAAATGGTGGAAAGGGTGACAGAGAAATGCCTCTCCAAGCAGGTACCATGTGAGCAAAGCCTTGAAAGCCTTTATAAATAAATATCTACTTAAAGTACATTGTAGTATTAGAAATAACTTCATTATATGGTATTAATAATATGGGCTGCAAGGAAAAGAAAACTAACTAAACAGAGCATATCTATTAAGATATTTAGGTTGCAGACAATAAGACTGAAAGTGATAAGGCATGTGGCGTTTTAGGTAAGGTGACAAAGAGCTCTCTAGTGAGGGGCCGTGTGGCTGAGATGTGGAAGGCTGTCCGGGCAGAAGAAACAGCACGGAAAAAGCCAGGATGTAGGGAAACAGTGCTGACATAATGAGCCCACCAAGAAAGAAGGGCATGCCGAGGGAGTGGGGGGAGGCCAGGGAGGCCAGCGCCGTGAGGATTTTATTCCACATGTTCAAGGACTGCAGGGTGTTGTGCATGGGTGTGACAGTCTGATGGTTTTTGGTGAAGAATGAGTTGGTGTGGATTATGGGGGCAGAAGCAGACACAGGAAGGACAAGAAGCTGCGTCAGCGTACACAGGAGGAAATGGTGGTGGCCTGACTGTGGCCACGGCCGTGGAGATGGAGGAGTGGGCAGATGGTGGGGCCAACAGACTTGGTGATGGACTTGACTGAAAGATAAAGGAAAGGGCAGATTCAAGGTTCTCTTCTGGTTTTTTGGTTTGGCTAATTGAGGAAGGAATCCTATCAGTTACTTACTAAGAAGAACAGCTTTGGTTGGATGCTGAAATCAAGAGATCACTTTTGGTCTTCTTAAGTTTATGATGCTTATTAGACATTCAAGTGGATGTATCAAGTGGACCACTGGATTTATGGAGTTTGGAACTGAAAAGCAAAGCCAGAGCACTGGTATACAAATGTGGTAGACACTGAAGCTCCTCTGTCCTCCCTAGAGGTAGGAAACTGTTGACCGTGCTGGGGAACGATAGGTGCAGACTACAGAAATGTTTGAGACCTGAGAGAACCAGACTGCGTAAGTGAGGGTGTGCCTGCTAGCACTTGTGAGTAACAGCCCCGGCTACTGACAGCTCTGTAGAGTAAACAGCACGTCTTACTCTGAACTAAAGATGGTGGCTCTTGAGATCCAGGTGCTCCAATTCTTCCTATCCCATTAGAAAGTAATTAAATTTGATTAATTAAAATTTTAAAAATCAAATTAGTGAAAAAAATCAGTATATCTTATCCATGTGACAGACCAGGCCTAGGAGATAGCAACTATATGATTTTTGTAAATTGTTTTGGCCCATAATCCTCTAAAATTCTAAACTGTATTTGCCAATAAGTAAGAGAGTGTGTTTGTTACCAAGAGATCATGCCTGTTTTGATAAGTGATGTGTTTTGTTATTAGTATTAAGTCCTTTGATTAAGGAAACATATCAACAAGAGAAACTCGTTTTTACAAATGTTAATTTAATTATGGCAAAAATGTTTTATGCTTTGAAATTTTTCTCTATGTTTGATTTTGATAGTGGGTACCGAAGTCTAAATAAATGCAGTGCTTTTGAAACATGGTGAGTGCTATATTTGTATCCTTATTTCAGAGAAGCAATTTGAGATTTAGGCCTCAGGCGGTAATTTTTATCTCTAAACTATTACGCTATAGATGCTATTGATATTAACGTTAATGTGGCATAAAGCAAAATGTAGGCATGGTAAATTAAATTTTAATAGAATAATTTAAAGGAAAACTGAAATTCTTAAGAATTTTGAAGATAAAAGTTCAACAGAAGATGGATTTAATAGGGATGAATTAATTATGACTTCCATTCTTGGCTAGCAGATTAGGCAATTGCTGTAGAGTATCCAAACAAACTTTAAAAGTCCAGCAACATTAAGCCAAATACAATCTACAGCATCTATCATTTATGCAGTAGGATGAATATTGGCTGATCCTTGGGATCACTGTAAAAATCAATTTTGAACAAACTTCCTAAAGATTGGACATAAAACCTTGAACTATAAACTCCATTCACATTTTTATCTTCCACAAACCATTAATGCCGCTAAGGCCAAAAATGGCACTTCTCCAAGGCAGGTTGGCAAGATGAGTTACTTCATCACAAAAGGCTGTGAGATGTTCATGTCCTGTGTTAAATATTCGATTTTAACCCAGCGTGTTTTATCTATACGTGCTGAACTATTAGAAAATCAGCCTACAACGCTGATATCCAAAGCAAGTTCCTGTCAGATTCATTGAAGAGATTTTTTAAAAGGAATTATAATGCATTTAAATACTAATATTTTCCCATTTCTACAAGTTGTAAATGAAGAAGAGTGGGGGTCAGGGGAGGAGACAAGGCATACAGATTGTGTCATCTCTCTCTTTTCAGATAGAGTTCAGAGAACCCCTATTCCTGTCCTTATGAAGAATTTCATGGGTAGGACTTTGCCCTTCTTCTCACCTTGTGGTGACCTCCAGTTCTAGAATATATTTGGTAGCTTTGTAGGTTCCAATGGAGAAGGGAACTTGACAGCTTCAGTAGGACTCGCTCAGCTCTAGGACTGTTTCTAGTATGTCTTCTGCTAATAATGTTCGTAGTCTGGTGAGTTAGTTCACCACAGCCTAATTCAGAAGCAGGTGACGGCTGAACAGAAAGAAAAGCTTGGTATGAGTATACACTGGAAGGCCATGGCGGTAGCACGACCAGTATGAGCTACTGACTTGGGCCATTCTCTGCTGGTACATAAGTCTTTTCTGGGAGATCAGTTACTGATTTCAAAGGAGACATAAAGGATCTGCAGCATATGTTCATCAAGCAAGGATGCCCACTACCTTTTTCTAATGGTAGAGATTTTTCTCCTATCAGTTTCCTTTCTTATTAATGTATTCTTACTGGCTTGAATCACGGGTGGGTGGCACGTGCACTGTTGTTCCAAGTGGTGCAAGCCGCCCGATGGGACAGTGACACATGCACCATCTGTGGTCCAGAGCTTCCTAGCAGTGAGACGTGTGAATGACAGCCCCACTGTGAACGTGGTAATCTGTTCACTTCTATCACCACTACTTCAGTTCTAGCTTCATCATCTCTGGAAACTTAACCTAGTCAGTACACATGAGCAAGTTACTTCACTGATGTGTTATTTTCTGAATAGCTTCTCATAGTTGTCTCATTTTATCCATTGGCATTGCGTCTTACTAGTTTTTGTTTTTTCCATATGAGAGTAGGGGAGAGATGGATCATTTTTATATTGGTCCTTAAATCATGGAGTTTTGCTTTATTTGGGTTCTGCATGTATCTGTCTGTCTGTCTGTCTGTCTCTCTCTCTCTCTATATATATTTTTTTTGTGTGTGTGTGTGTGTATATATGTTGACCCAGCACACACTCTAACAAGGTAAACATGTAGGTAAACATGTTTACATTTCTGATTGAGAATTTTATATATGCTACTTTCAGCATCTTACTGGTATCATCTTTCCTCAAATGGTAATCCTTAAATTGTAGTCTACTATATCTGATGAGCTATTGATGACCATTTTACACATTCTCTTTCCCCTCCTACCTCCAGTATTTCATTCCCCATGCTTAGTCTCCAGCTCTGAATTTTAACTTCTCTTTCACACAGAAAAAGCAATGTCCAGAGAATGCCACATAATTGCACTGTTGTCCTAATGGCTGATCTATTGCTATGTGCGTGCTCTGGCACCCTGCTGTTGGCGTGGATAGACTGTGCTCGGCCCTCTCCGTTCTCACCTGCTGGATGACATCAGCCTGATGTCTGTGTCCCCTCCATTCATCACTGTGAGCCATTCACATTCACTTAGAAACATGTCCATTATTTCTCACCCTTGAGAATCTCTCCCTCTCTATGTGTTCTGCTCTGCCTGCTCGCCCATTTGTCTTCATTTACACCTCAAGGTTTTGAAAGTGCTGTTTCTATCTCCATGTTCCCAGGGTCTCCTCAGCCTATTCCGGGCAGGGGCGTATCCCTCACTGCGCCATGGAAGTGTTCTCGGTGAGGCCGTCAGCACTCCACACTGCTCCGTCCGGGGTGCTTTCTTCTCAGTTCTCCTCTGGCCACTGTCACAGCTTGGTGTCTTCTTACCAGTTTTTGACTCTCGGCACTCAGAATACCACCGCTTGTTATTATTTTCCTCTCCTCTCATTCCCGTGTGGTTTTTGCTGGTCTCCCCTTATGTTCTTGACTGCTAAGGAGGTTGAAACATTGGAGTTTTTAGGGTTCAGCTCTTGGACCTCTTCTTACCTCAGTGTGCCATCACAGCTCTTCCGGCTTGACAACTCAAAGTGTGTTTCTGTGACTCTGACCTCTCTCCTCACCCCCAGGCCCCTACGTACTTTCTGAGTCTGTATCTCGACTGGGCATTTGAAGTTTAATGTGTCCTAAACTCAACTTCTGATTCCATATTCCCTCAAACCTGCTTTGTCCTGTCTTCTCCTTCCTAGAGAATGGCATTTCCTCAGGTAATCACGTAAGCCAAAATCCCTGAAGTCATCCTTGACTTCTCTCTCTTCCTTTCTCTCATTCCTGCTATTCCTACCATTTGGAAATCCGTTGGCTCTGACCTTCAGAATATAAAATCTGATCACTCCCTACCATCTCTGCTCCTGCTGCCTTAGTTCAACCCACCATAATCCTACTGGAGCACCCTGCCTGGGTTGCCTGCTTCTTCCAGAGCCTGCTAGTGATATTGCTGCTAGCATGATCCTTTCAACGTACACATCAAATCTCGTCAAAAGCGCTAGTGTCTTTCCATCTCGCTCAGTGTAGCAGTTTTCACTCAGTAGCTGACCGTGCCGGCTCCTTATGGCCCCATCAGTCTCCGCTGCTGCCCTCCACTGCACCTGCCTTTCCTCTGTGCCTCACGCCCACCTTAGAGCTGTTACTTATGTTCTCTCTGCTTGCCGTCTTCTTCCTCCACACAGTCCAGTCTTCTCCTTTTGTGTCAGGCCCTCCCCGATAACACTGGTTAAGCTAGCAGCTTCCGTTCTGCTCACTCAGCACTCCTCAGCGTGCTCAGCTTTTCTTCCCAGAACATATACCCACCAAACACGTGATATCCTTAGTTTTATTTTGTTTTATTATTCTTTCTAAAGAAGTAAAAGTAGAAAAAGTCTTTGTTTCATTAGATTTTTCTGCCACATCTGTGGAACAGTGTCTCACCTCCAGGAAACAACTGTTGAGTGAGTGAATGAATGAATGAATGCACAGGCACACAAATGAAAGAGCAGGAACCGTGGACTGGAGTCCTGTCTGTGTTCTGTTAACATATGATATGATAGAAATCGCCATCTGCCCTAGCGTGTGTTAGTCTTGCATTTATGGTATCTTTCTCTACTATAGTTTAGTAGCTGTTTTTCATATTATTAAAACAGAAGACTGTTTTGCCTTCTTTTTTTCTCTCTCTCAATAAAGAGAGATTAATCTGGGATTTTTAAAAAAAATCATGAAAGTTCATTTTGTAACGATATTTCGGTCATTGCAGATCTGGCCTGTTGGGAGACACTGATCTAGTTTGGGGTTTCTTCCAGTGTGAAGATGATTTAGCTGAGAAGAGGAGGAGCAATGAGGTGCTCCGCAAGGCCATTGAGACCTACCAAGAGGTGGCCAGCCTGCCCGAGGTCCCCAGCGACCTGCTGAAGCTGACTTTGAAACGGCGGTCAGAGCGACAGCAATTTCTGGGTAAGATGTGGTAAGAGTTAATTCTCTAGGAAAGGACACGCTTCTCTCTTAAAGAGCCTGAGAACTGGGCGTACTCTTAGAAGAGTTAAGTGATATGGGGGGAAACCCGAGTTTCACAACTAATTCCAAATAGTTAATCTGTTTTAAACTGACCATCTGTAAAACTGAAACAGCAATTCCAACCTCAGTAATTACAGAGATGCAGGTGCCATTTTTGTACTCTCTTGACCTCCACTATTCTAAAAGGGAGGCAAATAGTATGCTGAAAGCTTGGATAATTTGCCTAAAAAACCATAGCTAATTGGTTAATAAGTCCAGAATCAAAAACTTCCTGGGTTGCCAAATTCTTTTCTCTATAAATATAACAAAGTGATTCCTGGAGGTGAAAACTATTTGTAGGACTATTTTTTAAGAAGAATGTTAGGAGTTCAGGTACCTCAAGCATTTTACAAGTAAAACTTGAACTTTTTCCAAGGAAAATGCTAGAAAATATATTTTAAATCATAAAACAAATTTGTGAACACTTCAGAAAGAACAGCACAAAGCGTGCTTCTACTGACCCAGGTTCCCAGTCTCAAAGTCAAGGAGTACTGCTGTACCTAGCTTCACTTCAGCCGGGCTTGTGTGATCTTTCCTGAACATATCATTGAGGAGGGTCGGATCTAAGCCGCGAGTCACTGGTGCTTGGCCGCTGCATGGTTACATGGACAGATTCTAAGTGTTCCTTAGGGAGTGTAATACAGGTGGTTTGTCCCTTTGTAGAGGATAACCTGTGATAAGAATGCAGCCCAAGCGATGATTCAACACTGTAAGAAAGGGTCAGTGAGATGTCTGCACAGAAGCCTGACCAGCGGAAGGAGACATGTGGCACAAATGCAGGGTAGAGAAGAGCAGGCCAGAGCCAAGAGTGGCAGCTGGGGTGCTTGCCTTGGGTGTTGTTATGGTTTGTGTCTAGATGTCCCCTCAAAGCCTCATCAGTCACGGTGTGGGCTTTTAGAGGATATGATTGATCCATGATCCAGTGCTGGGATTATGGGTGTGAGTGCTACACCCGCCCCCGCGGATAGTTTGCATATGTACGAGAGAAAAAGAGGCAGCTTGCAGCCACTCCTCCCTTTCTGCTTTGCTATCTTCCACCTCCATGAACCCGCGCCCTCTGCCATGCACCACCCTGCCTTAGAGCCAGCTGAGTATGGACTAAAACCTCCACAAACTGTGAGCTAAATAAACCTTTCCTTCCTTCATTTTGGGCATCAGATATTTTGTCTCAGCAACAAGAGAAACATACCAAGACTGATGCACAATCATTTTTCCCGAGTTCTGTTGCCTCACCACTGTGTGGCTGTATTTAGCGCAGTTTATTGATTCTGTCTTTAAAATGGCCATATTTTGTTCATCATGGATTTTAAGTATTAATTTTCCATTTAAAAAATATATTAAAATATTACTCAACTTAGAATTATGGATTTTTTTTTTGGTTCCTTTTTAAATTTCATGCCAAATTCATCACTTAGCTCACCCTATTTGCGGCGTTCAAAAGAAGACTGCCTGTGAAATCTAACCTTTCTCCCAGTAGTCTATCAGTGTTTGAATCTGACCTTTCTGCTGAAATGCCAGTGTGGCCAGGTCATTTGAGGAGAGCCTGCGTTGAATGGGCAGAAGCTGTTATTGCACACGGCAGGATGGTGAGGTTGGCTTAAAGCAGAGGTGAGGTTCATGGTGCAGGGTACAGAGGACAGGAGCTGCGGGCTTTTATCTGGGTGTTGTGAGTCAGAGGTTTAGAAGCACAGGAAAGAGTGAGCCTACGTGGGCAGGTAGGGAGAAGGCAGAGGGCAGGAGAAGTAGACCGTTAGTAAGGGAAGGACTGGCTGTGCAAACCTACCCTGGGTTTCTGATTGGAACACCATGGGCCGGCAGTGGGCGCAGGCTGCAGGGTGAGTGGGTGATGCTTTGTTTGTGCCAGATGTATTTTTTTTAGAATAAATAATTCAGATCTTTGACACTCTTCCTGTATTGGGCAACTAAAGCTAAGTTTGTGGGCTTTAGGTAATTAGATTTTTAAAAAATACGTGCTAGTCTTATTTTACACATTTTCTTACACAGTTTGTGTTTCCTGCTATGACAGGGAGTGATGAGAATTGTTACATTTGCCTCAGACAGCTGTAGCAGTAATTGAAAGCTGGGGTTTTCATATTAACATAGTGCACAGCAGCCTGTCGTCCACCAGAGGGCCCCCTAGTACTGGGGGATGCGTCTGTCGCGGCGCCAGTCAGAACTTGGAGAACAGTACGCCTAACTGGAGGTTGCATCAGCCGTTTGGTGCTGTTCTGTGGACCTCAGTGTCTTTTCACGTTTTAGGCAGGGTGCCTGACCCTGAAATCAGTTAGAACTTTTATTGACTAGTCTCTACTTTTAATTTTAAAGCTAATAAACACAAAAGTATCACTGTAAAACATGTTCATAAGTAACTGGTAACTAAAACTTTCTAAAGAGGGAAAACAAAAAAATTGAATACTTTCAATTTAGAAAATGAATATGTCTTTAAAATGCCTTTAATCAATATTATCTTCGTACCTATTTATAGAAATTATTGATACCTTTACCACTACATCATGAAATCCTAAGTATTTAATACGTGATTAATAGAGAAAATCAGATTAAAGCTCTGTTAAATAATTTATATTATCAATACAAAGGTATACATGATCTGTTATACTGATCCTTTTTCCTTCCCCAAAATCAGGTCATATGCGAGGTTCCCTGCTTACCCTACAGAGACTGGTTCAACTGTTTCCTAGTGATACTTCCTTAAAGAATGACCTTGGTGTGGGATATCTCTTGATAGGAGACAATGCCAATGCCAAGAAGGTGTATGAAGAGGTAGGCATCAGTCTTCCATTAACAATGTCAAGTTATCTTCAATGTTAAGTCCTAATGGTATTTTTTTTTTTTTTTGCAATTTACATATAATATGCCTAGTCCCTCATTCCCTTTAAGGTTTTGTTTTGTTTTGTTTTGTTTTGTTTTGTCTTTTTGAGACAGGGTCTCCCTATGCAGTTCAGGCTGACCTTGAGCTCATTTTGTAGCCCAGACTGGCCTCGAACTTGCAACAATCTTCCTGCCTCAGCCTCCCTAGTGCTGTCCCTTTAAGTTTAATAGCATATATCATTAGAATTTGCATATTTGTTTTTATGTTGCTTTTTTATTTTTGTCTTGATCAGATTTTAAGTTTAAGTTAGCAAAGCCTTCAAATTTTTGTAAGACAAGGGGCCACTGAGTCTGTTTTGCCCATCAGCAAATACAATATTCCACATGGAATTATTTTATGATCTGCAGCAGTTCCTTAGGAGATGGCATAGATTTTAACACTGTAGGCTCACTCCACACTGCATAGGTATTAGCGATGCCATATAAAGCAAAGGTCTTATTTCTGCTCTCTCTGAATATATAAAATTATAACAAGGGTCAAAAGACACCTTCAGAATTCACTAATTCTCAGGGAAGCATCCACAGCAATAAGCAGAGGAAAGCACCACTTTGTGAGTGGACCCGGTCCCCAGACTGAGATTAGAATTGCTATACTTGGTAGCATTTTAAAAAGGGAAACAATCATATTGGCTAACATGGAATAGTCACATTTCGATGAAAACTGCACCACCTTGCAAACCATTGATCCCCAGTCAAAAGCAAAGAATAACAAGGAAACAGATTCATCTTCCTTTTTTTCTTTTTTTTTTTAGTATTACTTTTTTATTGAATTTGTTAATGTTATAGAGTTCTTGCACAGCTAAACTGTGCCTGAGAGTCCAAAGAAAGAAATGGTACAATGGACTGCCTCATCCACCCATCATATAGTATTTTAAAACTTGATTCATGTGCATTTTTGCAATTTCACATCTTTTAAAAAATTATAAGAGCTGGAATTGAAATCTGCTGCAGGTCTTCAGCTTTCCAGTACAGTGTGCCATTAAATAAAACTTCATGTTCACCTCACTTCACCTCTCAATAGCGTTATGTAGGAAAATGCATACTTTGCAAGGAAAATACGTGGTTCAGGATCCAGGAGATTACTTGTGTTTGGTTCCCAAATGAAGTCTTCTGCTTAACCAAGGATCTCTTCCTTTCCCGTAATCCTCCAAACTGCCTTGGCTGGCTCAGCTACTCACCCAAGTACCCCAGAAGGCAGGCATCGTACCTGCCACCTCAGACGCTGTCAGCATTACTGCTCGCACGTGGCCAGCCAGTGGGGCCGTCCGGGGACTGTCTACGGCCGCCTGGGCCCCGACCCCTACACCCAGCTGCTCATCTTCTTTCTCCCGCCTCTCTCCTGCAGGGGCGCTCACTTCCCTCGCACTGCAGTTCATTTGCCACCCTGTTTGTGTTGTGCCGGATGAATCCCATTGCCGCCTGAAGGAGCCTGAAGGAGCCCGTGTTCTAGGTGTTTGGGACTTAGAGGTTATCTAGTAAACCATCCATTATAAGGTGGAAATCCTTTGAAAGGCATCCTTGCCAGAGGTTCAAAAGTCAATGCCCTTCTGCAAAGTGAGTACTCTGCTTTATATGCCCAAGAAGCTCACGTTCTGCAATCTCCCTCTAGACTGGACTTCTAGTACAAACGAGGAAAAGATTATATAGTTTGACATTTGTAAAAACTTGTGTCACTCTACCTTTGTCTCAAAGAACACTTTTAGAGAGGCTATCTGTCTTAGTTACTTTTCTCTCCTTGCTGAGACAAAATACCTGGCTCTCAGAACTAAGGAAGGGAAGGTTTATTTAGCTCACAATTTGTGGAGGTTTCAGTCCATAGTCACCTGGTTCCCAGGCAGCATGGCACATGGCAGAGGGCAACTGTTCATGCAGGCGGGAGAGACCAAAGCAGCAAGAGCAAAAAGGGAGGAGTGGCTGCAGGCAGCCTCTTTTCTCCCTTACATATGTAAACTATACGCCCAAGGGCAGGTGTAGCACTCACATCTGTAATCCCAGCATTGGACCATGAACCAGTCATAAACTCTAGAAGCCCACCCCATGATTGCATGAGGCTTCGGGAGGACATCCAGACACAAACTATAACACTATCTGTGGACTGATAAATTTAAAGTTTTTAGTGTACCTAGAAAATTGGCTCCTTTAGGCAGTAATGGGATTCAATTGGTACAATTGGTTGTACAGTAAACTTGGTTTATTGGTTGGCAAATAAACTTCAGAACTGGAGAAAACGAATGTGTCTGTATAGCAAAGATGAATCTGTTTCCTTGTTATTCTTTGCTTTTGACTGTGGATCAATGGGTTTGCAAGGTGGTGCAGTTTACATCGAAATGTTAGTATTCCATGTTAGCCAATATGATTCTTTCCCTTTTTGAAATGCTATCAAGTATAGCAATTCTAATCTCAGTCTGGGGACCGGGTCCACTCACAAAGTGGTGCTTTCCTCTGCTTATTGCTGTGGATGCTTCCCTGAGAATTAGTGAATTCTGAAGGTGTCCTTTGACCCTTGTTATAATTTTATATATTCAGAGAGAGCAGAAATAAGACCTTTGCTTTATACGGCATCGCTAATACCTATGCAGTGTGGAGTGAGCCTACAGTGTTAAAATCTATGCCATCTCCTAAGGAACTGCTGCAGATCATAAAATAATTCCATGTGGAATACTGTATTTGCTGATGGGCAAAACAGACTCAGTGGCCCCTTGGCTTACAAAGTTTGATTAAAGGAAACATCATGTATCTCAATAATTCTAGATATTATGAATATAGAGAATTGTCCAACTATAGTGCAAATATACATTATTTTACTGCTATCAGGAATCACAAACATGGAAATGTAGATTTTCAGCCTTCTGCCTTCCCTACTCTTCCCTTCCTTCCCTTCTCTTTTCTTCCTCTCCTTTCCTGTGGATTTCATCTAAAATGTACACATTTAAGGAATGTACATGAAATCATGTCACTGCACAAAGAATGGCCATCATCAGGAAATCAAATAACAACAAATGTTGGCAAGGCTATGGGGGGAAAGGGAGCCCTTCCTCAGTGCTGCTGGGAATGTGAGCTAGTACAACCACTTAGGAAATCACTATGGAGATTCCACAAAAAACTGAAAGTAGGAATTCCATTTGACCCAAGTCTTCCCTTTCTAGGTATCTTCCCAAAAAAGTTAAGACATCATGTTAGAGTGATCCATGCATACTCATATTTAAATTTATAACAACGCAATTCATAATAGCTAAATCTTGGAAGCAGACTAAATATCCATCATCAGATGAACGTGTGAAGAAAATGTGGTGTTTACACGCAGTGAAGTATTTATTACTTAGCCATAAAGAAAGATAAACTTGAGTCATTTGTGGGAAAATGGATGCACCTTGAGATCATAATGTTGAGTGGAATAAATCAGACACATAAGTTTAAATATTGCATGGCTTCTCTTACATGAGAAAGCCAAAGTATAAATAAATAGCAAAATAAAAGGCAGATCATTGGAAATAGGGAGATGGATCTTTCTGAAAGATAGGATGAAGAGATGGGGTTGGGGAGGGAAGGGTGACAGAAAGGAGTTAGCATTTGTTATGTCCGTGTACCAACTCCACGCCAGGACTGTAGGCATGCACTGCAAACCCGTGCCCAAAAAGGAAGGCGATCAAAAGACAGCTGGGGAAGGGTGAGAATGGAAAGGGGATAAGTAAAAGGAACTAAGATACTTACAGGCACCAGTTTCCCACAAGAAATATAAACATTATACACTACAAACATGTGCTGCTACTAATAATAATAAAACAATAAAGAAATGAAACATCCAAGTCTCAGAAAAACTATCCGTGAGTTTTATAAATTTATTGAAAAACAAAACCATTGTGAAGAAAAGTAAAACTTCCTTCCTTCCATCTTTCCTTCCTTTCTTCCTGCCTCCCCCCCTTCCCCTTCTTTCTTTATAGAATTCTTCCATATTTTCTTCTCTTTCCCTCTCTCCCTGCATCCCTGTTTCTTGTTCTCCTTTCATCTAAAGAACCCATCAAGTGCTTTCTGGGTGCCAGGCATGTGGGAGGTGGAGGCAGGATCGGAGACGGCCCCAGTCATTGCCACCACGCTCAGGACGCGCCCTCCTCACCTTGTTAGAACTGTGCTCCGTGTGTGCATCGCTACTGCCTGAAGCGCTTTGCTTTACTTTGAAATATAAAATTTATTTGCTGTTGTTTATTTGCTTAGACCCAAAATCTCATCTGGTTGAGCATAAAAGGAAGTGCAGAGTCTAAAGTATAGTCATATTATACAATCGAGTGAGTTTCTTTTTAAAGAATCATTAATAGACTGGAAATAAGTATGGGGTTTGCTTTTTTTCCGCCTCTCACATCCAAGTTAATAAGCTGTGTCTAATGGTTTCTCTTTCCTTAACCAAAGTTTACTCTGACATATTTATCTCCATCAAAATCATTTTCAGAAAACCAATAATTGGAATTTTTATTTTTCTTCACGTTGTTTTTTAGTTTTGAGTAAGTTTATAAAAATCATTGACAGCTCCCTTGCTGACTTTTTGTTGCTTCATATCCACAGAGAGACCAGCTTTGGAATGGTTGGGTGTAGGCTGCTCACCGTAGATTGTGGAAGCTCCTCTTGTGGCTTCCTTCGAAGTCAGTGACACTGCAGTGACCCCAGCCGCCCACAGCCCAAAGCCAAGCGTCATTCCTGAGGCTTTCCTGATCTTTCGCTTCACATGTATCTTTTCCTCAGTCAACTTCCACTTATTAAACTCCCCCCACACTGGCCCAGAAATGGTAGTTAATGAAACGGACACACACTGTTCCTTCATGCCCTGTGCAAGCTCATGCCAAATCGTTTGTCTCTATTTTCCTTCTTGAATAGCTTTGAAATCCCCTCCATCTTAACCT